GGATCTGGCCCATAATGGCTAATATACCTATATTTTGTGTGAACAAAGTCAAAACCATTCAAATATTTATATGCATGGAGAGCAAATCCTTCTGAGGAAACATGCTTGGTTTCTTTCCTTTCTGACGCTCGGGGAGTTAACAGTATACAGTATTATGCTATTTTTAATGGTTTGCTCGTGAACACTGGCCTCAGATAACACAGGACACGCTGAGAACTTGTATATTCTTGTATATATACTTGAATACTCCTGCATGTGATAATGTATCCTGGTCTGTGAATAACTGTTTTCACCGTCTTCCTTACCTTGTTCTTCTAAGGCGTTCCTGCTTGATGCCAGCGGAACCGGCTTCTCAGTCAGACCTGTATGGATGTGGAGTAAAATCAGACACAATACAAACAATACCTTACACTGTATCCTAATCAGACGTGATGCGAACTGATCAAAGATCACAGCCAATCAGAAGAGCATGTGGGTGGAGTCTCAAAAAACTATGACTGAAACCATCTTTGTCATAGAATTCATTGTTTGTTCACAGTTTGAATGTTCCTGTTTCCTTAAATGTATGAATTATCTTTTGTCACTTAGTACGGCTATAAAAGGTCACGCATTGCCATTCAAACTCACATTAGATGCATTTAAAGCTTTTGAAAATCCATATTTTAATATTGTTTGTATGTCTATGTGGTTTTTTAATACGCTTTAAGACACACCATGTGTAAGTTCATAAGTCGACAGCATTGCTGAGTATTTTCTGCTTAAAACTGCAGTGAACCAAAGACAGTCTCAAAAACACGGTTTGAAATCGCTGGTGTTTCTGACGTCACAAACGACCTTGTAACCAATCAGATCAACGTGTGATCGTCAACCAGTGGATCTCTGAGCTGAGTGAGTGAGTGGAGGCGGGGCTCATTTGCATATTCATAGACCCGCGCATACTAAATGAGGCAAGGGTGTCGAGTTACATTCAAGATATTTTAAGGCATGAAGACATTTGTTTCAAGGAAAAACGTTTAAATATGTCATTTTGGAGATCAAAGATGAGTTTTAGTTTTTAAATGATCGACTACAGGGGGACTTTAACTTTAAATAAAGCACATAAACAGTACCTGAGATTATCATCGTTATACTTTAAAGTTGTTCCAGCCGCGACGTCGCAGAAATAGAAACTGTTTCTAAAATAAAATCATCGAGAAAGGCTTCCGCAGCTGGTTAGGACAAAAACGCTGATTAATATAGAAAAGACGACTTTTATCACAGCATGTCTGGTTAGGATATGGTATTAAAGGGATAGTTCGGCCAAAAATGATATTTAACACATGCATTACTCACCCTCAAGCCGTTCGAGATGCATATGTCAATTTTCAGTTATTTTAGAAAATGTCTTAGACCCTTCAGTGGATATAATGTGAAGCAATGGGGTCCACCTCCTTCAAGTCCCAAAATGTGCATACATCCTTCACAAAAGTAATCCATCCGGCTCCAGGGGGATAAACGAAGGCCTTCTGAGGGTAATCCGTGCGGTTTTGTCGTAAAAATATACATATTTAAAACTTTATAAATGAAAATATCTGACTTCCGGCAACGATCGACGCGCGTTCACGGGTGATGGAAGTCGGCGTACGAGGTAGGACGTAGCGTAGGAACCGTCGTGACGTAGAACCGCACGGATTACCCTCAGAAGGCCTTCGTTTATCCCACTTTTGTGAAGGATGTATGCACATTTTGGGACTTGAAGGAGGTGGACCCCATTGCTTCACATTATATCCACTGAAGGGTCTAAGACATTTTCTAAAATAACTGAAAATGTGTTCGTCTGAAACAAGATTGACATATGCATCTCGAACGGCTTGAGGGTGAGTAATGCATGTGTTAAATATCATTTTTGGCCGAACTATCCCTTTAAGAAGCCCAATCAAATAATGACAATTAGGTTTAATTCCTTCTCAAAATGGATGGTCAACTTTGGGATCCAGCATCGTGATCTAGTAGCTTGTACTGAAAGAAATAGGTTATCCGCGAATCCATCTTTTACATAAAATGTGCATTTCGCACTATTCATCTTGTGTGGAAGAGAATAAAAAAAGAACTGTGAGAAGAAAGTCAGGGCTTTATCCACGCGCACACACACACACACACACACACACACCAGACCGTGTTTCAAACAGATCAAGAATATTTTAAATAAGAGAAAAATTCACATTTATTGGAGGCGGTTACCTTGATACTTTCTCAGAATATTTAACCACAGCTTAGGTTTCATCGAACACTTAATAAACCATTTCAATAAACACATTAAAATGATGAGAAGTACTTTCTCATATCCCACATAAATATGCACTATAATTCAGTCATTCGCATGTTGATCTCTCTCAAACATTGCAAAGCATTGCTGTGTGTTGAAGCAGTCAGACATGAAACATATCTGGTGTGATATCATATCATATCAACTGGTGAAGAAATTACACACTTCAAATTTAACACCTAAAAACAAGCCATTATATGATTGGCATTATACGATTAACACAGTTAAAGTTTCACAAAACAATAAATGGTTGTTCACCAAAGAACTACAGATGATAGGATCAATATCTCACTATTCTGGGTGACAAAACCCGTAAACGTATAAATAAAAATACTATAAGTACAAAAAAATGCATACAATTTAGCAGACAATTTCTGATCTGCAAATTTAGTTGAAAACAAAGTTAAAAGAAAGCAGGGTATAAATACACTCGCCACTGCATGAATGAAAGTAAATGTTAAACACTTGATCCTGGGTGTAACTTTACACGCGTTCCCTCGCTCAGAAACAGCAGAACTGATGCGTTTCACATTACAGACTGAGTTCACACCGCACACAAGCAGAACTAGCCTTACAAATAACGGACTTTAGGACAGACGGTCACTGTGAAAGGATTTCTTCAACAACGACTGAGAGAAGCTGTCAGTGTGAAAAGAGATGAATAATAATTGAGTTATTGCATCTCGTCGTGGTTCTGGACTTAAGGCACATGAAACAACACGCGTGTTTTACACATTATTGGACATACAGTTTAAAACCGCTCACTAATCGCACACAGTGAAGTCACACTTATATACAAAAATTGTATTCATGAGAAAAGAGTGAACATTAACACATTCAGGAACAAATGAAGAAAAAACTTGTAAGATCTTTTAGATTCAAATGCAATTTCAAAACTCCTATTATTACAGGGTCTTACAGAGCCCTAAAGGGACCTGGTGATGGAAGAAATATGATGGGAGGAAAAATTATTTGAGTTCTCTCGTGAAGACCGGTTTGTCCAAAAGTCCCTTGTGTATAACCGGGTGTATCTTGGGAGTTAAGCCGGAGCTCCAAACTATGTTTTACTTCCACAAAGAAACTTTATGTTTGCCTGCATTTTTTTTTTCCGAGTGAACGCCAAGATTCTCAAAGGAACGCAAAACTTTTGTGAGTGAACAAAATTTATAAGGGAAAACAAAAACGTTTTGCAAGCAAACGCAAAGTTTGCCTGCAAATTTTTTTTATCGAGTGAACGCAAAAGTTTTGCGAGCGAACGCAAAGTTTTTTCAAGCGAACGCAAAAAATTTGCAAGCAAACAAAGGATTTGCAAGGGAACGCAAAAGTTTTGCAAGCGAACGCAAAGTTTTTTCAAGGAATGCAAAAGATTTGCAAGCGAACGCAAAGTTTTTCAAGGGAACGCAAAAAATTCGCAAGCGAACGCAAAGTTTTCTCAACCGAATGCAAAATATTTACAAGCGAACGCAAAAGATTTTCAAGCGAACGCAAAGTTTTTCAAGGGAACGGAAAAGATGTATAAGCAACAGTTTTTCAAGGGAACGCAAAAATTTGCAAGCGAACGCAAAGTTTTTCAACCGAACGCAAAAGATTTACAAGCGAACGCAAAGTTTTTCAAAGGAACGCAAAATATTTGCAAGCGAACGCAAAGTTTTTCAAAGGAACGCAAAATATTTGCAAGCTAACGGAAAGTTTTTTCAACCGAACGCAAAAGATTTACAAGCGAACGCAAAGTTTTTCAAAGGAACGCAAAATATTTGCAAGCGAACGCAAAGTTTTTCAAAGGAACGCAAAATATTTGCAAGCGAATGCAAAGTTTTCAACCGAACGCAAAAGATTTACAAGCAAAGGCAAAGTTTTGCAAGCGAATGCAAAAATTTGCAAGCGAACGCAAAAGATTTGCAAGCGAACGCAAAGTTTTTTAAGGGAACGCAAAAAGTTTTGCGCAGTGAACGCAAAAGATGTATAAGCGAACATATAGTTTTTTAAGGGAACGCAAAAGATTTGCAAGCGAACAAAATTTGCGCAAGCGAACGGGAAGTTTTTTCAAGGAACGCAAAAGATTCACAAGCCAACGCAAAGTTTCAAGGCAACGCAAAGGATATCTAAATTTTTTTCCACCACATTGTCCTTCTAGGTCCTTCGTAGGATTTCAAGTCACTTCACAGATTTGAGTTTTAAACAACCATCTCAGTCTGGGAAAGTGATGGATTTAGATTTTTTGTAACAAACACAATATATTATGAAAATTATTATACATTTACACATTCATCAACTCTTTCCCTGCTAGCGTTTTTAAAAAAGTTGCCAGCCAGCACCAACATTTCGGATCATCATGCATTCTTTTTAATCAACACTTGGTAAATGTCATAAAAAAGCAACAGTGAAAAAAAAGAAAAAAAAAGTTCGTCCGGATGGGATTCGATCGAGTCCATCAACACCTCAGCTTCACAGTCGTTAACCCTTCCTGGGTTCGACACTTCATTCTCTAACGCTGATTTATACGCTGTTGAATGTTGGATGATCACGTTATAATTGACATGTGCGTCTATCGCTCGTTTCTGCTTCTTCTTCGCTTGTTTTAGGATCTGGCGATTCAGTCCTCTTCCAGAAGATGTGTAACAGCGCCCCCTACCGTACAACAGGGGAAACACGGATCGCCGGTTTGAGGAATTCAGTCGTGATTGTGATTCGATCCCCAAAAACACAAAGTCACGTGTAAAGAGATCTAATCAGTGTACCGTCAAAATAAAAGTAGTTAGCAAATAAAAAGTAGCTAACTGCATTTAAGCAAAGAGCATAATCTTTTTAAATATATAACCTTACAATTGATATTTAATTTAGCAACTAGTGCAGTTTTTATCTGGCACGAAATAAACGGAAACCATAAATATTCACTAATTAAATCTATTAAACACACAAATTTATATAACTGACTAAATGTATTTAGGACTGAAGCTCTTAATGGATCGGAGACTTCATGTTTAATCTGAGCGAGCGGATTGGCTGAGACGAGTCGGACTCGACACTTGGGTTACGACTTCTTCCTCTCAGCTAAAGCTTCAGCGCTGTAGAGTTTCATTTCTACACTCGTCTTGCTTTAGAGTCGTTCACTTCCCAACAGTTCCTGCTCAACACACTAGGAGTTTTTCTCTTTATTGAATTAAATCTCAGTTATGGCCGTTCACTATTATTTATTTCTTGATTTTTTTGTTTGAAGATTTAAGTAAACCACGGGTGGATATTTTCTCCTCTTTGGTTTTCTGTTCATCCGCAGATTCTTTTTCCTTTTCGGATTCATCAACTTTTTGTCCATGTGCTTTTGTATTTAACTTGGCCACCGGTTCTTGTTTGTTATCGTTCACGTCTTCTCTTTCCTTCATTTTCTTCTCCTTTACATCTTTCTCCTTTGGCGCCTTCTCTCTTTCTTTCTCTACTTTCTCCTTTCTTCCCCTTTCTGGCTTTTCTTTTTCAAGTCTTTCTTTTTCTTTCTTTTCTTTGGCCAATCTTTCCTTTTCTGTTTTTTCTTTCTCAAGTGTTTCCTTTTCTGGCTTTTCTTTCTCAATTCTTTCTTTTTCTGGCTTTTCTTTCTCAAGTCTTTCCTTTTCTGGCTTTTCTTTCTCAATTCTTTCTTTTTCTTTCTTTTCTTTCTCAAGTCTTTCCTTTTCTGGCTTTTCTTTCTCAAGTCTTTCCTTTTCTGGCTTTTCTTTCTCAATTCTTTCTTTTTCTTTCTTTTCTTTGGCCAATCTTTCTTTTTCTGCCTTTTCTTTGGCTAGTCTTTCTTTTTCTACCTTTTCTTTCTCAAATCTTTCTTTTTCTTTCTTTTCTTTGGCCAATCTTTCTTTTTCTGCCTTTTCTTTCTCAAGTCTTTCCTTTTCTGCCTTTTCTTTGGCCAATCTTTCTTTTTCTGCCTTTTCTTTCTCAAGTCTTTCTTTGGCCAATCTTTCTTTTTCTGCCTTTTCTTTCTCAAGTCTTTCCTTTTCTGCCTTTTCTTTGGCCAATCTTTCTTTTTCTGCCTTTTCTTTCTCAAGTCTTTCTTTGGCCAATCTTTCTTTTTCTGCCTTTTCTTTCTCAAGTCTTTCTTTGGCCAATCTTTCTTTTTCTGCCTTTTCTTTCTCAAGTCTTTCTTTTTCTGCCTTTTCTTTGGCCAGTCTTTCCTTTTCCGCCTTTTCTTTGGCTAGTCTTTCTTTTTCCGCCTTTTCTTTCTCAATTCTTTCTTTTTCTGCCTTTTCTTTGGCCAATCTTTCTTTTTCCGCCTTTTCTTTGGCCAGTCTTTCCTTCTCCGCCTTTTCTTTCTCAATTCTTTCTTTTTCTGCCTTTTCTTTGGCCAGTCTTTCCTTTTCCACCTTTTCTTTTTCTGCCTTTTCTTTCTCAATTCTTTCTTTTTCTGCCTTTTCTTTGGCTATTCTTTCTTTTTCTGCCTTTTCTTTCTCAATTCTTTCTTTTTCTGCCTTTTCTTTGGCTAGTCTTTCTTTTTCCGCCTTTTCTTTGGCTAGTCTTTCCTTTTCCGCCTTTTCTTTCTCAATTCTTTCTTTTTCCGCCTTTTCTTTGGCCAATCTTTCTTTTTCTGCCTTTTCTTTGGCTAGTCTTTCTTTTTCCACCTTTTCTTTCTCAATTCTTTCTTTTTCTGCCTTTTCTTTGGCTAGTCTTTCTTTTTCCACCTTTTCTTTGGCTAGTCTTTCTTTTTCTGCCTTTTCTTTGGCTAGTCTTTCCTTTTCTGCCTTTTCTTTGGCCAATCTTTCCTTTACTGTCTTTTCTTTGACCAGTCTTTCTTTTTCTGCCTTTTCTTTCTCAATTCTTTCCCTTTCTGCCTTTTCTTTCTCCTGTCTTTCTTTTTCTGCTTTTTCCTTCTCAAGTCTTTCTTTTTCTGCTTTTTCTTTGGCCAGATTTTCTTGTTCCACTCGCTCCCTCTCTGCTTTCTCCTTGGCTTGTTTCTCCTCTTGTTCTCTTTGTATCCGTTCCTTTTGTAATTTAGCTTCTGCCTCTTCTTTGATTTTTTTAGCAGCGAGATCAGCTTGTCTGTCCCCTTCCTCTTGAGCCAAAACACTACGGACCTCAGCGAGGGCTAGTTTGGCGATCTTTTTGGCTTCAATCTTCTCATGAATCATTCGTAGCTGCTCCTTCAGAGCTGCTTTCAGCTTTCGCCCAATATCTCTGGTAGGATGTTCTGAGAATGAGTGGGACAAAAGTTCACATCTCAAAAGGCTCATCACTTGTCTTCCATGCAAACATACATATTATACAACTGAACCTTAAGTGTCTGAATAACTGTCTACCTTTCATGATTCATGCGAGGGGGAAAAGCTCAATCAGTTCCTTAATGGGGCAGTCATTTCTGCGATTTCTGAGAATTACTGTTGATATTTAAAATTGACACCCAAACAAACAAACCCCTACCAAAAAGAAACACACACCTCCCTTCATTGCTCCACCCCAAAATAAAAACCCTGCTATGCAACACAGGCAACGACTCTAACAGCTGCCGCATCAGACAGGTCACACTGTGTATGCAAGTATAGTCGAATCAGCTGTAATTCAACAACCACAGGTCCTCAACACAGGATTTGCACCAAGAGGCAAAACCCTACATTTAAGGGTGTACAAACTCCTAGTAAAAGGAGCTCTTGTACTCCCAATGATCTCTTGAACTTCAGTTGAGAGACCTTGTGTAAACGGAGAGCACCGTTCAGCGGCTAAATCCATAGGCTCTAAATCCATGGGATCAAGCGGCAACCTGCCTGTCTCTCTCTTGAAACCAACACGGAAGTGACTCAAACTGCAGTTCATCCACTGGCCGCTAGAGACCGGCTGCAGAAGAGAGTCAATCCCATAGATCCCCATGTTAAAATGCCCAACTTTACAGCAGAAAAAAAATTGTTTACAGCCTAGTGCAAAAATTGGTTTTGGTCTATATCGCTAATTTTGCCCTTCATGACGACTGTGAGGCGGGTGAATTTTTGTATAACTCATCCGTTCAAATTATATTAAGCCTTAAAGTTCTGCATAATTAAGGGCGTGGCCACTTGAGTGACCGGTGGATTGCCGCTGATGTCACTACTAGCCGTTTGTCTGCTGTCTGTCTGTCACGTCACCTCAGCTAATCCGCCTCGCTGCACATTTTCATTTATCCAGGAGTGAAAAAATATGGGAGTAGTGTCTGTGACGTCACCCGTAGGTTTCTAAAGAGCGTTTTTTAAGCCCAAAGTGGGCGGAGCCGGGTGGAGCCATCTTGGTAGCGTCCATGTCAGTCAAGACGGGAAAACACCGACTCGTTGAACTATGCCGATAATGACGGAACTTGCGACCATAGTTGGCTAACGATGCTTTTGGAAAACACACCCCACTGACCCACTTTGCTGACCTGCGGGGCGGGAAGCCTTGCCCGTATTCTTCTGCATATCTCCACCGGGGGAATGCCAGCGTACCCCTACTCCACAGAGCTAGCAATGCTGGTGAAGTCAGCGGCCGCTGTATTAATCAACCAAGCTCTAAATGGCTGTTTCCAAGTCTCCAAGCTTCCAGTGTGGAGGTCAAGGAATAAAGGCAGCCGTACACATGAAGGGCGAGGATTGTTCCCAGAGAGAAAATGCTAATCGAGCTTAGAACGCTCCTCTTGCTGTATTAAAGCAGACCAATCAATGCTGAGCTTTTTTGCAGTCGAGAAAGCACCTCAGTGAGCTTTCTTGCCACTAGGCGGGAGAATGTCATCCAGGCTGAGAGATTAACATTCCATGACAGAATCCCTTTTTACACAGCACGTTGATCCCGGAAAATTGCCATAAAATTGCCAGAGTGCCTTCTGTGTGAACCCAAACACGTCCCGGGATTGATTCCGGTATCGATCCCGGAATGAGGACCAAGTAACATTACCAGGATCAGTCCCGGAACACTCCCTGAATGAACAAAAGCTGTAATCAATGCCGCAAGGGGTGTGTCGTACCCATGATGCTGAAGCTGAGATCATTCGGCAGCTTAGTGGAACGCTACGTGATGCGCTAGTTTATGATAAGGTTCTGAGTAAAGTCAAAGTTTTTAGCCAGAAACCCTACATTTTTAGATAGGTCTACAATGATTATTTTAGCCAAGGCCTTAATTTTAAATCAGTTTGAATTTGCATGTACTTCCTGGTTTGAAGGCCTAACAAACCGACTTAAAGGGAGGCTGCAAACAGCACAGAATAAATTAATAAGAGTAATTCTGAACTTAGGAATTACTTAGGTAGGTCACAATTTGTTGAGCTCAACTGGCTCCCTGTTGAGTCTCGTGTTATTATGTCAAGGCTGATCATGATCCATAAATATATTGTTTGGTAATGTCCCAAATTTTTTGTCATGTCATGTGACAAACACAATATCTACACTCGTGGCAGCATATCAGACCTCTGTCCTTATACATTTAAGACCGTGTTAGGGAAAGGAACATTTGCCTATATAGAGGACAAGTGGAACAATTTAGACCGACAAATTAAAGTCATTTCCAGCATGAACTCTCACAAAAAGAGAATCAAGGCCTGGTTATTAGAGAGTGTAGCGGAATAGAATCAGGGGCCAGTTACCGTTTTTATTTAAGAAAAATGTTTTTTATGTTATGTCATTGATTATCACACAATCTGTAAGTGTCTTGTTTTGATGTTATCTGTTGAGGACCACAATGGAATTTGATGCCTTTTTTTGTTTCATGTGTAAGGCATTCTTGATACAATTAAATAAACCAAATCAAATCAAATGATCGAATCAGAAGAATAATGCACAAGCGTGGTTTCTCGAGAGTAATCGCAGATCATAAGCAACCTTAAGACGCTGTGGAGACATAAGTCACATCGATGTCAGCGTGTCTTTACGGGACGTGTGTGAACGCACGCACAGATTCCGGAAAATCACCGACAGTGTGAATGAACCAAAATCCAACGATCCCGGGACACATTATCGGTGTAATTCCCGGAATCTCTGTGTGAAAAGGGCTAGAGAGAAAGGGAGAATCCAGTCTGCTCAGTCTCCATGAACTCGGGATCACTATTGGACCACCAGGGCTCGGTCTCATGGGGCGACCTCAGAAACAAGAGTACACGACTCAGCGTTCGTCCCTTGCCGGGAGAACGCGAGCCTCGTGCGCAGAGTCTTCTTCAGAAGAGTCTCACAATGAGAGTAGTGAGAAGTGCCAAACAGAGCTGCTCTAGCATAAGCAACGGCAAGGCTCTTCACACACCTCCCACTAGTGTTACAGCAAACTATGAAGCGTGAACACGGAAATCCATGTTGTGCTTCGCCACACTGAGAAGAGAAGTCAGCTCAATGCAGCCACTGAAACACACGCAATCGGAGCAGACTTTTATTGCGTGAAAGTGCAAAAACAAAGCAACCTTTTTATCCGTTTTCAGGCTTTCCCGCTCCCTAACATCTTTCTAGCGTAGGAAAGCTTTTCGTAAGCCTTCCTTTTCCAATCATATTCCTCTGACCTTCGGTTATATCTCAGCCATCTCTCTTTCTACAGTCTTTCCACCATTGTCATGCTTGCTCCATCTCTCCTCCCCAATCTCCACCTATCGCTTTGTGCTCCGTGGTTCAGTCCAACCCACTTTGTTTTTTCTCCTATTTGCACAGGCAAGAGTGTGTACAAACGCAGTGTTTCTTCTCAGCACACACACGAACAGCTGATATCTAGCATACATTCACAAACTTGTTTGTTTGGGTGTTGAATTCAATTTTCAACAACATCTCAGAATTCACTTTATATCTCTGTACCCTTAATTACATTTTTTTGCACAAAAGTTTATTTTTTGTCTATTTAAAAAAAAAACATGCAAGCAATTAGAAGATTTTAATGTTAGTTGAAGTCTGTACTGGCTTTTATTGAAGATTATTTATTTAATTTGCAAAATGTGATTCATTAAAAATTCATTCAAATAATGCATTTGGTAAAATTGCATTCTTGTGATCATTTGACGTACAAAAGTATTGGGGACACCTGACCACTACTCCAACAGAGACTAATGACATCACATTTTAAATGCATTAATATGGATTATAACATTGCGCCCTGTGTATTGAACATTCTAGAGTGTAGCGCTGAAAAGTCACAGCATATATATTTATATATACACAACTACACTCATTGCTAAATGATTCAGCGTTTTGAATGAATCTGTCGAATGAATGATTCAATGACTCGCTCATTAAGTGACTTGCCAACACTGGTGGCTGCATGTTTAAAAGTAGCATTGCATTTTTCCCAACATTTCTTATTTAAACATTTATGTAAAACATTAATCTCTTAACATTATTTATTGCAGTTGTAATTTTGCAGACTGCATGGCTAGATGCTTATATACCTATGGCGATAGGTCTGATTGAAGGTGTGTCCCAATACTTTTGTCCATATAGTGTACACACACACACACACACACACACACACATCCATAAAAAATATAATATGCATCATATGATACACAGAAGTTGTATGGGTTTTGGAACAACATGAGGATGAGTAAATCATGATATAATTATCATTTTGGGGTCAACTATTGTTAAGTGTACATTAGTATCCCTAAAGACTGTACGAGTTTAAACACCCTAAACTACGAAATAAATAAATAAACAAACCAGAACAACAGAAACAACAGATTTTTCGATTAAATCATGCCATCAAAAAGCCGCACTGAAGCAAGTGTATTGTGTGGTAACACCAGAACTCATGCGAAGTACCTCTGTCATTTCTAAACCCCACTTCTTTCGGTCTCTCATCTGCATTGAAAGAAGGACAAACAGTGAATGACAACCTGCACTTCTGCTTCGAACGAAGACGTGTAAATGTGGCAAAGTTTGAGAACACATGCTCCACTAAAACAGCTAGAGGTCAACCGATAGCGATAGCTCGTTTAGCCCACGCTGGCCGATAACTGATTAATCAACCGATAACGATAGCTCGGTTAGCCCACGCTGGCCGATAACTGATTAATCAACCGATAGCGATAACTCGGTTAGCCCACGCTGGCCGATAACTGATTAATCAACCGATAGCGATAGCTCGGTTAGCCCACGCTGGCTGATAACTGATTAATCAACCGATAGCGATAGCTCGGTTAGCCCACGCTGGCCGATAACTGATTAATCAACCGATAGCGATAGCTCGGTTAGTCCACGCTGGCTGATAACTGATTAATCAACCGATAGCGATAGCTCTTTTAGCCCACGCTGGCCGATAACTGATTAATCAACCGATAACGATAGCTCGGTTAGCCCACGCTCGCCGATAACTGATTAATCAACCGATAGCGATAACTCTGTTAGCCCACGCTGGCCGATAACTGATTAATCAACCGATAGCGATAACTCGGTTAGCCCACGCTGGCCGATAACTGATTAATCAACCGATAGCGATAGCTCGGTTAGCCCACGCTGGCCGATAACTGATTAATCAACCGATAGCGATAACTGGCCGATAACTGATTAATCAACCGATAGCGATAGCTCGGTTAGCCCACGCTGGCCGATAACTGATTAATCAAACGATAGCGATAGCTCGGTTAGCCCACGCTGGCTGATAACTGATTAATCAACCGATAGCGATAGCTCGGTTAGCCCACGCTGGCCGATAACTGATTAATCAACCGATAGCGATAGCTCGGTTAGTCCACGCTGGCTGATAACTGATTAATCAACCGATAGCGATAGCTCGTTTAGCCCACGCTGGCCGATAACTGATTAATCAACCGATAACGATAGCTCGGTTAGCCCACACTCGCCGATAACTGATTAATCAACCGATAGCGATAACTCTGTTAGCCCACGCTGGCCGATAACTGATTAATCAACCGATAGCGATAACTCGGTTAGCCCACGCTGGCTGATAACTGATTAATCAACCGATAGCGATAGCTCGGTTAGCCCACGCTGGCCGATAACTGATTAATCAACCGATAGCGATAACTCGGTTAGCCCACGCTGGCCGATAACTGATTAATCAACCGATAGCGATAACTCGGTTAGCCCACGCTGGCCGATAACTGATTAATCAACCGATAGCGATAGCTCGGTTAGCCCACGCTGGCTGATAACTGATTAATCAACCGATAGCGATAGCTCGGTTAGCCCACGCTGGCCGATAACTGATTAATCAACCGATAGCGATAACTCGGTTAGCCCACGCTGGCCAATAACTGATTAATCGGCCGATAGCGATAACTCGGTTAGCCCACACTGGCCGATAACTGATTAATCAACCGATAGCGATAACTCGGTTAGCCCACGCTGGCCGATAACTGATTAATCAACCGATAGCGATAACTCGATTAGCCCACGCTGGCCGATAACTGATTAATCAACCGATAGCGATAACTCTGTTAGCCCACGCTGGCCAATAACTGATTAATCAACCGATAGCGATAACTCTGTTAGCCCACGCTGGCCGATAACTGATTAATCAACCGATAGCGATAACTCGGTTAGCCCACGCTGGCCGATAACTGATTAATCAACCGATAGCGATAACTCGGTTAGCCCACGCTGGCCGATAACTGATTAATCAACCGATAGCGATAACTCTGTTAGCCCACGCTGGCCGATAACTGATTAATCAACTGATAGCGATAACTCTGTTAGCCCACGCTGGCCGATAACTGATTAATCAACCGATAGCGATAACTCAGTTAGCCCACGCTGGCCGATAACCGATTAATCAAATGATAGCGATAGCGATAACTCGGTTAGCCCACGCTGACCCTTAACCGATTTATCAACCGATAGCAATAACTCGGTTAGCCCACTCTGGCCGATAACGATTAATCAACCGATAGCGATAACTCGGTTAGCCCACGCTGGCCGATAACTGATTAATCAACCGATAGCGATAGCTCGGTTAGCCCACGCTGGCCGATAACTTATTAATCAACCGATAGCGATAACTGGCCGATAACTGATTAATCAACCGATAGCGATAACTCGGTTAGCCCACGCTGGCCGATAACTGATTAATCAACCGATAGCGATAGCTCGGTTAGCCCACGCTGGCCGATAACTTATTAATCAACCGATAGCGATAACTGGCCGATAACGGATTAATCAACCGATAGCGATAGCTCGGTTAGCCCACGCTGGCCGATAACTGATTAATCAACCGATAGTTAAAGATGAAACTAATAACAGCATATCGGCCAAACAGATTTTGCAAACGCGCCAGAGCGCATTTGTGTTTGCATTCGCGAGGAGAGAACGTGTTTTTGCAGCGTTGAGCAATGCAGCCAATCACAGACATATGTTTATTTCTTGCGACACGATGGCCAATCAGAGGCGCTTAAGTTAAAATCCACTCACGGCTCAAAGCGCTGGAGTTTGTTCAGTGCTGAGTTACGCAAGCTTGCGAATCCTCTCATTATAACTGACAAAGTACAGACACGATGTAAACAAGAGATTCATAGAGCAGTGTAGACAACTTCAGTGGAAGTGTGTGTTATCCATGCATTAATGAATTATAGACTTTTACGTACACCAGGTGACCTGTAAAAAACTGTTTCCACTACAATTTTGCAAAATATTCCTGTCAACACTGACATTAGCTCAACACTGACCTGACGACTTGGTCATTAACGACTTTCTTTCAGAATTGCTGTAAATACTTTTGTCCATATAGTGTACACACACACACACATCCATAAAAAATATAATAAGCATCATATGTACACAGAAGTCATATGGGTTTTGGAA